ACAGCGTGCCAGTGCAGAAGCCCGCGCCGCCGCCCCCGGCCCCGCGCCGTCCCCTCTCCTCCCCTCCCACTGCCGGCCGGGCTCGGACCTGCGCCGCCAGCGAGGGCTGGAAGGCTGTGGAAGCGCCGCCGCGGGCTGCCCAGAGGCCGGGCCCCCCGCTCCACTTAGCGCAAACTTGTTTTCCTAAGGTCAGCGCCGCGAGCTGGCGACACCGTCCTCTTAAGGTGGACTGGGGAAGTTGCGGCCGACCTGCCCTCGCCTCCGGACTCCGGCCGGGGTTTGTCCCTGCTTCCCGCTGGGGAGAGGCGGGGAGGGAGTGGGGGAGTGGAGGGGGACACGGGGGGGGGGGGTGTCTGCCTTTGGCCCCTCGCCAAGCGGCCCTGCCCCTGTGCCCCAAAGCTGAAGGGCCCTCTTGGGGGTGGGCGCCGGCCAGAGGGGCCCAATTCTTTCAGAGCTCGGCCCGAGGTGAAGGAAAAGCAGGAAGTAAGTGAATGTAGGGGGAAGGGGGAGAGGAAGGAGAGAGTGATGGTACAAAAATAGCGTGTGTGTAGGAAGGACTTCAGTACCGCCTGGAAAAGAGGCGCAGGGAGGAGAGGGAGCGAGAAGGGGGGCTGCGGCCTGGAAACCAGAGGGGAAGGGTCTGGGTCCGGGCCTCCCTGGGGAGGTGGGCGCTCTCCCCCAGTTGCCTCTCTGTCAGGCATGGCCCATTCAGGGGGTGCAGAAGGCTCAGGCAGGGTTGGGGGCGGGGAGAAGAGGACTTGACGGCCTGGGCTCCAGGAAAATGACAGGCAGTGAGGAAGACGAGGGGAAGAGGAGAGCAGGGGCCTGGAGAGGGGCGATAGCCTAGGTGAAAGAAGCCCATGCTCCTTTCTCTCCCTCTCTCTTTCTCCGTGAGGAAAGGCTGTGTTCCCAGGAGCAGCCAGGTCAGGGATAGGGAGTGAGCATGCTGGTCATCTGGCAAAAGAAGGCTCTGGGCTGTGGGAGGGAAAGGAATCCAAGACCCTGTGCTAATTGGAGGGTTTGGGGCTCGGAAGTAAGCAATACCCAATTTTGCTTCACAAGGCCATTAAGAGGATATGAATGAAGCAGGGTGGGAGAAGGGCCAGCCTTGTACATCTAGAGGGTGTCTGGGCCCAGAGAGGGAGTGGACTTGCCTAAGGCCACACAGCAAGGCCTAGGATAGAAACAAGACTTGATTCCTGATTTCTAGGCTAAAAACCTTTGCAAAGTCACACCCCATCCCTACCCCTGCCTCCCTGTCAAATGCCTGCTTCTGGTGTTGGGCTAAGACAGGGAGGCAGGCAGGGTGCAGCTGTTGAGAGTGTGAAGCAGACTCCCTGGGTTCAGATCCTGCCAGCCACCTCTTATGAGCTGTGTCGACTTGAGAAAAGAACTTATTTCGGTGCCTCAGCTTTCGCATCTGAAATGAGGCCAATGTGAATATCAACCAAAAAAGCTGGTGTGAGAATTAGATGACTTAATATTTGTACATTTTAAAAAGTGCCTAGCATGTCCCAGGGGCTACGTAAGCATTTGATAAATAAGGAAAGTGTTCAGCAACAGTCCTCGGAACCCATAGAGTTCTGGGCAGTGTTTGAAGGGCGAGGGGATTTTCTTTTCTTTGGGCGTGGGAGACACAGCAGTGACCCACACAAGGCCCCGTCCACGAGGAATTTATATTCTAGTGGGGAGACAGATAAGTACACTAGTAGAAATAATTAATGAGCAACAGAAGATTGAGCTTAGAGAGTGAGAAGGGTGCGCTGATTTAAATAAGGGTAAGGCCTCCCTGGGAAGCTGAGAACTGAATCACAAGAAGGGGCAGCAAGGTGAGGATGTGGGGATTTGCTGTTCCCAGAAAAAGGGAGCAGCACGTATAAAGGCCCTGGGGCCAGCTTGGCTGGAGAGGAATGAGCGAAGGATGGGGGAGAGTGGTCAGGCTGGGTGGCCTTGCAGACCTTGGTAAAGAGCCTGTGTTTATTCTGCAGACAGGAAATCACTGGAGGGTTTAAGCAGGGGAGCCCCATGGTCTGATTGGTGTGTTTAAAAGGCCACTGTGGCTGAGAGTAGAGGGGAGCATGGAATCAGGGTACCAGTGAGGAGTTTGTTTTGGGGTCCTCCTAGTATCTCAGGTGGGGGGAGGGAGTCTCCAACTCTTCAGGCCACATCTGGCTGAGACCGTGAAGGTGACCAGCTGAGGCTCCTGGGAAAATCCATCACACGAATCCATCTGGGGTGGGAGTGGGGGCAGGGGCTACTGATGACCACCAGAGATGAGGTAGACTCCTGGCCTGGGCTTCCAGAAGGCTCTGCCATTCGCTGTTCCCCAGGACACGCACACGTGCACGCACACACACACACACACACACCCTGCCTGGGATTAGGAAGCTGCAGATTAGGCCAGGATAATAATCGCACCACCTGCTATGTATATACAGCACCTTTGGCAAAGGCGCCCAGGAGGGCTGCCCAGCACAGGGACCATTTTCATCCTCACCTCTGCCCCAGGAGGCGGCCTGGGCCCTTTCCTCCTGATCCAGCCTCCACATAAAAATCACCCTTGGCCGACCGTCAGGGCTGGGAGCTCATTGAGACCAATGGGCAGCTGAGCATCTGAGGTCAGGGGACCTGAGGTCACAGAGAGATTATGGCAGGTAGTTGAGGTGAATCAGCCACCTCCCTAGGAGTCGTCCTGGGCTCCCCTGGATTAAAACTGATCTGCCTTCATACATGTACCATCCATTCACGCACTCACTCAACGATATTTAGTAAGCATCTACTATGTGCCAGGCTCTGTGCTAGGCACCGGGGATGCAGGAGGTGGGAAAAAACAGACAAAAACTCCTGCCCCCAAGGAGCTGACACTCTAGTGGGGCAAACAAACAAACGGTATGTGAAATATTTAGTCTCTGTGATGGGGATAAGGCTACAGGGGGAGAGAAAGCAGGAAGGCACCCAGGGCCAACAAGGGGGGCGGGTCAGGGAGGCCTCAGAGGAGGTGATATTTGAGCAAAGACCTGCGAGATGGAGATGGGAAGCACGGGCGGCGGCTCCATCCCTGCATTGCTCCTGATGCTTCTCTGTCACTCCCCGCTGCAGCCTGTCCCGTGGGCTCCCCCTTCTCATCACATGCAAGACCAAACCACTTCCCGGTGCCTGCTCTGCTGCTTCCGCCCTGTCTGCGCCTCCACCATCTCCCACCGGCACCCTCTTTCCGCCCTTGTCCTCCTCTTCCCCCATCCATTCTCCACTCAGCAGCCAGAGGGATCCCTTGATAGAGGTCAGATCATGTCCCTCCCCTGCTGTCCAGGGTCCGCTGCAGAGAAGACTTGAATGAGCGCAAAGGGCTTCCAAGCCAAGACTGCCAATTTGACTTGTGTGATTTGGGGAAAATTGATTTTATGAGCCTCAGTCTCTCCATCTGTGAAATAGGAATAAGCAGGTCCCCCTCAAGACGAGACGAGGGGTCGGTGGTGGCACAGATGGGAAAGCCACCACGGGGGGGAGCATACCTGGAGTTAGCCTCTGCAGGTGGGTGGTTCCGCCCCTGTGTGTGCCAGGCCCTTCCACATGGATAGCCTCCTTGAAGGTGGTCCCGGAGGTGAGGAAACAAGCCAGGGACAGAAAGCGACTGGGCCAGGGTCACTGTGCCTGGGCCTGCAGGAACCCACGGGGACCCAGCTCTGCCTGGCGCCAGCCAGGCCCCGGCTCCCTCCTCGCTTCCCATAACCCTGGGCTGGCGTCAGCCCGCAGGCCCGCCGGGCCGCCTTTGTGTGGGGCCTGTCAGGACTGGAGCTGCCAACGACCTATTTTTCTGGGCAAGAGGAGCCTTTTGGAGTTAGAGGCCTCAGCTGTGGAGCCAGAACAATAAAAATAAAAACAGCAAGGATTCCTGGACCAGGGAACCAACTGCCCCAGAGAGGGGCTGCTGACAGGCTGTTGAGAGGGCCGTGGGGGGCAGGAGCTGGGAGCGTCCTTAAGGCGCCCCTGCTCTCTGCTCTGACCTGTACTGGGCTGTCCCCAAGGCTCACAGCAGCCATTTTATAGCCACGGAAACTGAAGTTCAGAGGGACGGAGTGACTTGCCCGGGACACACAGCTGGTGAGTGGCGGAGCCAGTGAGGATTCAAACTCGGTTCTCCAAATAATAATAAGTTCCTGTTTGTTCAGCATCTGCTATGCTTTACAGGCATATTCTTGTGACATTCACACCACACCTGGGAG